TGGGCCAAATCGCATACATGCTATCGTATGTACTTGGAAGAGATATTTAGAAAAGTAGACAGACATGACCGTACACATTTCGGGTTAATTGTGCACCAAATGTCCGATATCAGTCCAAATATTACCTGAATTGTAGCTCATCGGACCGAATTCATTCTAGAAGCATTCATTCTAAGTCCCTCAGAATCGTAATATGCAACCACAAAAATTATGTTTGGTATCAGATACAGCCCAGAAATACCTCTGCCAAATTGTATCAAGATTGGTTCAGATTTAGATATAGCTCTCATATATATCTTCAACCGATTTCGGGTTAATTGTGCACCAAATGATCAATATCATTCCAAATGTCCTGAATTTTGGCATATCCGACCGAAGCAAGTGCAAATTTGGTGAAAATCGGTCCAGATATAGCTATATCTCCGATATATATGTTTCATCCGATTTGGTGTTTAAATCTCTCACATTCGTAATATGCATTTGACAACAATATTTGGTACCAGATATCTAATAGAGCTGGGAAATAACTTTTATCTTTTTTTATAATCTTATCGAGATCGGTTAAGATTTGAATATAGCTACCATACATATCTGTAATGTGATTGGTTTATTCTATAATAAAAAGCTAATATCAATCCAAATGACCTGATTTTTGTCAGATCCAACCGAATTCAGTCGAGGAGCAAGTACATTTAGTGTTTAAGTCCCTCACATTCGTAATATGCATTTGACAACAATATTTGGTACCAGATATCTTAAAGAGCTCACAAATACCTTTGCAAAAATTTTATGTCTCCGTTAAATTTAGTGAAAATCGATTCAGAATTGGATATGCCTCCCATAATTTGTTCCCTCTGAAACCAAATTTTAACTGCTCTAAAATCAAATATTGATAGGTGGTATGATCTACTTCAAATAAATTATTTTGTTACGGGAGCTCTACTAAATATGAATAGTGGCGTAGGGTATAATATAGTCGGCCCCGCCCGACTTTTGACTTTTCCATACAGTTTTAATTTTATTTTCCTTTTCGAAGTCCGAATTTTATAATTTTTCACGTTTTCACCTACCTTTGTGTGTTTCTTTGGCAAGTAGAACTACCTCTAATTCCATAATTTATAATTAATTGTATATGACTTAATATATGCATCTCCTTATTCTTCTCCATCTTCTTTTTTAAATTATTGTACATTTATATACATCGATATACACATATTTTTCTTAAATATGGCTCTAACATTTATGTAGATATAACTAAAGTTGTATGATTTTAAAATATATGGATGTTGATATTTAAATGGAAAATATATGTATGTATAAATATTTGAATAAATAATTATCATTCCGGCTATGAAACAATCTAGATATGTTTATATGTGAATGTGAATTTATGGATGTTTGAAGCTACAAGAAAATGGAAAAATAAAACGTGAACATACAGTCAAACAAGGTTGTAATGGACATGGATGTCAATAATAGAAATCGACTCATGTGGGTATTATCAAACAAATAATCAGGTTTGAATAGATGTTGATAACCCGTTCCTCATAACCCTGTTCGACTGTATCAGCACAGCAGGTATGAATTAAAATGCATAACTGAAATCAATGCAACCAAATGTGTTTGCTGTTGTTATTGCTGCAGCACACACACACACACATGGGAACAAGCAACATCATTTTGATGAGACAGAGCGTCGAGATTGGTGAGTGAAATTTTTGAATGAATGAATGAGCGAACGAACGAACGAATTGCTGCTAGTGATTATGACATTGAACAAAAAATTGTTGTTTTACTAGTTGATGAAGAGCATAAAATGACAATGAATGAAATGGAATAAAAGTATATTTATATTTATATATGTTTATATGTATATATGAATGCATCATGTTGTATGTGATAGAAGAACTAATAGCATTGCTATTGCATTTGGGTATTTGTATTTGTATGGGGCGGGTGATAATGATGAACATGCATAGTCAAAAAATTTTTAAATTTATTTTATTTCATATGGAAAAAATTGGTGTTAAATTTATATTAAATATATATGTGGAAATTTGTTGTTGAAAAATGGAAGCTGATGAGGCTTGAAATGAAAACTAAGAAAATAATTGGGCGACAAAATGGGCAAATGTAAATGAGTTGAGATGACAAATTTGTTGGGAAATGAAATTGGATATTTTAGTGCCAAATATATGGGTATATTAATTAAATACATTGTAATATGAAGGGTAATTGTTCATAGAAAAAAATATTGAAATTGAATGTTAAGTTATAACCATTGACAGAAAAATATTTAAAATAAAAGAATATACTTCTCGGTTCACCTATTATTTTTATTTTTTTTTTTTTTTGGTGGTCCGTTTTTTTTTAATTGTAAAAATATTTTTCCACGGACTTTTCAGCAAAAAAAGTATCTAAATTTTTTTTATTTCCTAAAGCATTATCAATAAACATGAAGTAGTTGCAACTTTTTCCAAGGACAATCAATCCAATAACTATTTTTGAAAAAAAAAATTCAGGACTATCATATCACATATCGTATGGGTTTTTTTAAATTTTTTAAGGTCAATCATCGGCGTGGAGTATTAAGCAATTTTTTTTTTTAAATTTTCTTTCAAGGACTTCGAGATAAGAATTTTGAAACCTTTTCCAGAATTATTAATTTTTGTTTAAATTTAATCTAAGAACTATTACTTTGTATAAGTCTTTTTTAATCCACATTTATCGGATTTCCTTGAGAATATATTCTTAAAAATCAACTTTTAAAATTCTTCAGATCCTTGAGAAAATATCCTTATGGTCCTCGATTAACTGTCTAAAGAAAGAAAAAATCTATTAATGGTCTAAAGATATATGAAAAAATCTTTTAAATCCCCTATTAGTGGTCTAAAGTATTTTAGAAAATATGAAAAAGATCCATATTTAGTGCTCCGTTATTGTTCTCGAAAAAAAAATATTACAAAAGTTCTCATTTATTGGTCTAACGATCCTGAGAAAAATTCTTAAGAAAAATTAAAAATTGGGTCAATTGGTCATACAATCCTCGAAAAGTAATCTTGAAAAGCAAAATCGATTGGTGTAATTGTCTTCGAAAAATATTCCTAAAAAAATCCATAATTATTGATCCAGTGGCGCTTAAAAAATATTTTTAATATTCCTTGTTTATTCATCTAATTCCGGAAGAAATTTTCTTAAAAATTCAGCCTTTTACGTTTTTTTTTTTTTTTTTTTTTTTTTTTTTTTTTTTTTTAACGACCATTTATTTGGTCTCATGGTCCATAAAGAATAAAAATTAAATTCTAAATTCTTTTAAAAAATGTATCTAAAAAATCCACGTTTATTGATCCTTGAAAAAATCCACATTTATTGATCCTGGAAAAAAATTGTGTAAAAATCCACGATTTTTGATCCTTGAAAAACTTAACTAAATATCCATGTCTATGGATCTTTGATAAAAATGAAAATTATAAATTATTTTTTAAAGTCCAGATTTATTAATCCTTGAAACAAATTGTCTAAAATCCACGTTTTTTGATCCTTGAAATAATTTGTCTAAAAATCCACGTTTATAGATCCTTGAAAAAAGTTTTGTAAAAACTCACGTTTATTAATCCTTATTTTTCAAATCCAGGTTTTTTGATCCTTGAAAAAAAATGTCTGCAATCCACTTTTTTATATCCTTAAAATAATTTGTCTAAAAATCCACGTTTATTGATCCTTTAAAAAAATTGTCTAAAAATTCACGTTTATTGTTCCGTATTTTTTTTAATCCAGGTTTATTGATCCTTGAAAAAAATTGTCTAAAAATCCAAATTTATTGATCCGTGAAGAAAATAGTTAAAAATCCACGATTATTGAACCTAAAAACAAATTTTTCCAAATATTCACGTTTTTTGATCCTTGAAAAAATTGTCTAAAATTCGCGTTTTTGACCTTTGAAAGAATTTGTCTTAAAATTCACATTTATAGGTCCTTGAAAGAATGTGTCTAAAAATCCACGTTTATTAATCCTTGAAAAAAATTGTTTAAATTCCACGTTTTTTGATCCTGGAAAAAATTTGTTAAAAATTCACGTTTATTGATCCTTGAAAAAAATTGTCTAAAGTCCATGTTTTTTGATCCTTGAAAAAAGTTGTCTAAAAATTCCTTCTCCGACTTTTGTAAGTTTAAAAATTGATTTTAAAGGATTTGTTTCTGTGTTTTACTTTAATACTTCGTATGATAAACAATACCACTGGCGTATAAAGTAAAAAAATTGTCTGCGCCCCTAAGTATGCACCATTCACATAAAAATGCTATAAATAAGCAAAATTAGAGTTGATGTGTAGATAGCGCTGATAATAACGGAGAAAATTTTACATATATAAGACATTTATATCTAAAACCGAAATTAAGTTATTTCATTTGGGCCCAAAACGGCATTATTTACTGGAAAATATTCTAAGTTTTAAATGCTAAATAAATATTTATCAAACAAATACTCTTTCTCAAATATTAATATGTAGATGGTGCTCAGTTCAACACATGTAAAAAACGATTTTTATTCTATCTTTTATATAATATTGGTTTCAGTACGCTTAATACGATAATGGTTATAACTCACGTACGAAAATTAAAATATATTTTAATTTTTTTAATTTTTTTAATTTTTTTAACAATTACTCCTTTTTACTTCATATATTTAATTATAAAATATATACATTTTGGCACACCCTGTATATGCAATATATGATACTATTTGCAGTGCATTAAAATTACATAAAATATGGACACGGAAAGGGGGGATAATATGAAACATCAAAATTGAAACGAAAGCGAAAACTAATTCTAATAACACCAATTTTCGAGAAAGCATTTTTTCCAACAATGACAAAGAGATAAATGTTAATTAATAAAATTAGAGCGCAAGTAGTTTTTTTTTTTAAATTAACAAAAAAAAAATTGCAAAAAAAGAATGTCTTCGAAACAAAAGAACACAATTTTTATGGATTGCTCACTTAGTATGATCAGCAAGCAGACGAGTATTGCCGCCAATGCACCCATGCTCAATTTCAGCGTTTGGCCCTCCTGGACCAATTCACAATTCTCGCCCCAGAAGCCATCCGGGCATATGCAACGATAACGCATTCGTGGTTCGAGATTTATACAAGTGGCACCATTCAAACAGGGCAGATCCAGACATTCATTGCGATCCATGCAGCCTTTGGCGTCGGGTGACATTACACGGCCCTCACCACATCTGGAGATTTCGGCGATTGTTTTTTTTTTTTTTTTGGGCGGCAATGATGACGACGAGAACGACGAATGTGATGTTAGTGAAGTAGAAAGTAGGTGAGACAAGAATAACAACAACATCAGGAATTTTTGTTAACAAACTTTGTTGTGTGACAATGTTAAAGAGAGAGAGGGGGTTTTGAAAAGAGTTCTTTTTTGTTTTTTGTATGTTCGAATGATCAGGAGAACTGGGTTTTAAATTTTGTTGTGTAGACTATGGGCAAAAGAAAAATGACTTCAAATACACTCGAGAAAATATTTTTTTTTATAGCAATGCGATATTTTTGAAAATAAATTTTATAATTAATTTTCGAATCAATTTCAAAATTTCGTCGTTGCAATAAATTTTTCTCTGAGTGTACACCAAAGAAGCCGTATATGTAGATGAATGATATTTTCATTTGATGATGATTGTGATCGAAATAATATGCAAATGAAATAGACCAGCAAATTATTTGAAATTAAATATAATAATTATTTAAAAATATGTAATGTACAGCGAAGTCTTCGTCGGCAGAGTAGGTAGTTACGAGTGGGTAACATGGCCGTACAAGTTAGACTTCTAGTTAGAGTTTGACACATAAATAACATACTCAAGTTTTTCAATGTATTTTGAGGTGAAAACAACATAAATCCAATTGTATGACTTAAAAGCCTCATGATCAGTTGAATTTTGGATTTTTTGGCCATTTTTTAAGTGCTCAATATGTAGTCAGATGTGAGTTGTGTGATTTTGTTATGTACATATGTTAGTATGTTGTGACATGTGAAAACAGTATGAAGAAACCCGTGATTTTGTCAGGTTTCTTGTGGCAATGATTTTGTGTTTGATGAGATAATCGAATGTACAATGGTCGGTTTTTGGATAGTAAGCATGAATGATGAAAATTAAATGAGATTGTTTCATGATTGGAAATGATTGTGATTTGAATTTGTGGATTTACTAACCTGGAATGTTTCACCTGCCTAACCAAAATTTTATGGTTTGGGATTCAATTAGCTAATATCTTCGGATTATTATATTTCCTTTTTTTTTTTTTAATTTTTTGTTTATTATGTATCTAACCAAAAATTTTATGGATTTAATTTTCAATCAAAGCCCTTTCTGAACTCATTTCCCTTGACGCTTAATGTCGTAAACCGAATATGTTTAGAATCTGACTTATTGAATTTAAGTCTACCAAAGGTTTTTTTTTACAGCAAATAATACATTTTGCTTAAATTCGACTGTTCCGAATTTTTTACCCGACACTGAGAAAATTTTATATATGACCAAATTGGGTTTCCTTAAAATTCCTAAAGTTGGGAAACTCGGTTATACGGAACTATACTTATATTAACGATTTTTGCGAGGAGAATATCTACCCACCAAAAACCTGAAATATCCGATTACTTCGGGGTTTGGTGAAAATACCGAAAATCAGGAAGTAACATTACATGGGGATATATTAACATAACATTCTACATACGTAAAATACCAAATTACAGCTGATTAGATGAAATTTGGGACATCTACCGCTTATATACGTACCGATACATTCCATTTTCAACACCAAACATTCATGATCTCTGCAAAGTTACAGTTTCAAAGCTACAACTTTAATATAGCGAGCTCTATCTACAGACGGACGGGGTGAAATTCGACTTCGAATTTTTCGCCATCATAGATATATGGGCTTCCCGAAGAATACTTCGAGGTATTGCCAACAGCAATAACCAATTAAATATACCCTGTATTTTATTGTAGAGGATATAAAGATCCTGATGATCCACTTAATATTTTACGTGGGTTCACCTTCGGAATTCAATAATTTTTTTCCCCAGCTTCAATATTAAATATTTCAAGCTCAACCCCATTTTCTTCGAAAGATCGAAATCCTCAAATAAATAGGATAAGACAGTTAAAATTTAAATATAAATGTAGCCAAGAATGAGTTAAGAATATCTGAGGGTGTGAAATGCCTAGTACCATCATTTTTAAGAATGGTTACAAAATGAGATTCCTCGCTTCATTTCCAGCGAACAATGACCACCAAAATCTCTGAATACCAATCCGTTGGACTATTGTGTCTGGAGTATTTTGGAAAGCAAGGTTGGCACTAAAAAATACCAAAGTGTCAATCACCTCAAGCAAGCGCTTCACCGGGAAAGGGCCACAATACCGCAGAGCAACATTCGGACAGCACGTGACGGTTTCAGGCCATAATTCGTGCCTAAGGTGACCAATTCGAACAAATCTAAACTTATTCTAAAATTTAATGCTCTTTCCGACAGTTTTTGCTTTTGTCAACATTTTTAAAATCATACAGAGTATCCTATGAAGACCATATCTTGTAATAATAGTCTCACACTGGGGTCAATATCGGACATTTTTTTCAAATTTTGGAATAATCGGAACTTCAAAAAAAAAAAAAAATCAAATAATGTCGCCGTTTTATGTCAAACTTCCCCCTTTCTGTCTTGGAATCTTCAACATATTGTGGCAATCTTAAATATATTGAAAAATAATAAATATCATATTTAGTGATCGGACTTTACGATATAGCTCAAACTTTGTCCATCGAAATATTTATATCACACTAAGGCCAGGTGAGAAAATGTTTCATTCTTTTTGATAGTGCTAAAATAAAGTCAAATGCGAAGATGGGATAAATGGGTATCTCATTTGACACCACATCCACAGAATTCAACAAAAATACAGAAATAATTTAAAACGTACCCGACATACTTCAAACTTTGTATATCGCAAGTTTTGCGTTTGGTCGTCTTTGACATACGGTCAATATTTCCCGAATTCTGGCCTAAAAATTTGAGATATAAAAGTGTTTTCCATATATGAAGCCAAAATTGGTGGTGTGCTGAGTTATGACCCATTTATGCACAATATGAAACACCAATGGTTAACAAAATGCAAATGATTTTTAAAACCCGTTTTCTAATTTCATTTCAACGACACTAACTTGTGCATTTAATTAATTCAAATTTAATTAGGGCTTATCACCACATTAATATGGGAACACAAAATAACCCGTTGGTATGCAGCATTGGGCATTGTATTGCATTATATCGAGCTTTGACTCAATGCACTTTTCAAGATGAACCACTCATTTATGTTTCCCTCCCATTTGTTGGGGGGAACATTTTTAAGCTCCAAATTTTTGTGAAGTATTTTTTATAGAAAATATTATTGTTTTTTTAACTGTTGTGAATTTATACTTATTTTTTTTTTTTTTTTGGAATTGAGTCAAATGTTTTTTTTCCAATATTTTGACTCTTGTCGAAATTCGTCTTCCGGGAAACATTTTGTTCTTAGAAAAACAACAGTCATGTTTCTCAAAAATATATCCAAAAATTAATGAATCCTACAGTCTCTTGCAATACTTTGAAGCAAAATGTCCTAACACGTACTTATAACGGCTTCTAAATTAAATTCAATAAAAAAATTCTTCAAATTTTTTATAGAGTATTTTATTGGTAACATTAAAAATTTAAAATTTCATGTTTGGACTTGAGGTAAATTGAAAAATCAGTGTTTTATATTGCAATTTTTGTTATTCCAATATTTTAAATGTTGTCGACAGGAAAATATTTTTTTAGATAAGCAGCAGTTATGTTTCTTAAATGCCCTTATAAAATTAAAGAATAATACACTTTCTCCCAATATATTAAAATAATCTCTTCTGACACGAACTATTAACGCCTTCGAAATTAAATCAATAGAAATTTAAATAAAATCCCTCTTCAAGTGTTTTATTTTGTTTCATGACTGTATGTGTCGCCATGTTGTCTGTATAATTTGTTTTTTTTTTTTATATTGTGTTTCATTAACATTTGATTTTTATTAGATTTAATAATATTTTCAATAACTTTCAGGCCAGAGGATCATCGCCAATATTTAGTTTTTATGTGTATGTAGTGTATGTTTATTTAAGTAATAGAATTTGCCCCTAAAGAGGATTAAAAACCTGTGGCCTTTCAGGAAAAAAGGACAATTTTTGTAATTTCTTTTTTTTCCGTATTATCCCAAAAAATTTGTTGAACGTTGAAGGGTTCATGTGGATTTTAAGCTGTTTTGTTGTTTTTTTTAATTTTCATAAAAATCAATTAACCAGTATTTATTGTTTTATCGATTTTTTTTTTTGTCTGACTGGTGAGTTGAAGTTTTTTTTCTCTCTAAAAATCCAAATCTTTGCAAAGCAAACAAATAGAATGGGATTTGATAGGCATAACAGTAGAGTTGAAGAATAAAAATAGTGGAAAAATTTAAAGGAATCTTTTTTAAAATTTTGCAACTATTTTTTAAATCCCAAAAAATTTCGTTAATGTTTGAAATTTGGGTTTTTTCCATACAACATCAAATCTTGGGAAAATAAACAAATACAATGAAATTTGTAGAGAGGCGAGTGAGTCGAGATATTTAAAATATTGAAATTATTTCGGGATTTTTTTTTTCAAATTGAAGTGAACAGGATACTGAAGATGTTTTATTTATTTTAAAATGTTTATTCTCTTGTTAGGAAATTCTAAATCTTTTTATTATTTCAGTTTTTTTTTCTTTCAAAAATGAAATGATGCTATGTTTGAAGAGCAAATATACATTTTTTAAATATTTTTGAAAATTAGGTATAATTTGCTAATTTTTAAACGGACATAGCTGAACTATAGAAAATATTATTATACAGGGTGAGACTAAAAAATGCAACCAATTTCAGACTGCTGTCATTTCTAAGCCACTCGTCCGACAAATGTTAAAATTATTCCAGTGACAGCTCATTATATTGCCTGCAAGCGCGCAAAAACATTTTGGTGAGAATTTTCCAGAAAAGAAGTTCATTGCGATGAAGTTGAAGCGTTATAGTGTGATTTCTTTAAATTTGGCTGGAAAACCACAAGTGGCTATCGTTAGAGCATCGCAGCATTTAAATTTGAATAAATCATTTGTGTCTCATTCCATCGCTGGTACGATACTGGACGTCAAGGAAGTGAACGGAAAAAAACATCAACGTCAGCAGAAATGGTTCGAAAAGTAAAGAAGCGACTTGATCGAAATCCGCGTCGCAGTGGCCGAAAAATGGCTCGTGAACTGAACATTTCGTAATATTCCCTTCGGGAAATATTTGAAAAATGAGCTCGAGGTAAAGCCATTAAAATTCCAAAAAGTGCAAGTATTTACACCGCAACAGAAAAAAAATAGACTCAAAAGAGCTAAAGAGTTGCCTGGCTTGGCCGAAAGTGGTGAACGGCCGAATTTGGTTTTCTTCGATGAGAAAACATTCGTTGTCCAGCAGTTTGTAAACAAAGAAAATGATCGTGTTTTGACAAGTGTCAATGAGGTCAGTTGAAAATGTGTACCTTCTGTTGGTCACCAGAACTCAAGCGCCGGCCATGGTGATGGTGTGGGTCGCCATAACAGCCCATGGTCGCTCTCTGCTCGTATTAATTGACCGTGGCGTCAGAATAAATGCCGAATATTATCGCGAAAATATTCTGGAGGGTGTATTAAAGACTTGGGCACGCACAAGTTTGGACGCAGACCTTGGACATTCAAACAGTACTCAACACCATCTCACTCAGCACGCCATCCAAGAATGGTTACAAAATGAGGTTCCTCGCCTCATTTCCAGCACACAGTGGCCACCAAAATCTCCGGATACCAATCCGCTGGACTATTGTGTCTGGAGTATTTTGGAAATCAAGGTTGGCACAAAAAAAAATACCAAAGTGTCGATCATCTCAAGCAAGCGCTTCGCCGTGAATGGGCCAAAATATCGCCGACCAACATTCGGGCAGCGTGTGACGGTTTCCTTGGCCGTTTGAAGGCCATAGTTCGTGTCAAAGGAGACCAATTTGGACAAATCTAAATTTATTCTAAAATTTGATGCTAGTTCCGACATTTTCTGCTTTCATTCAATAAAATTAAAAAAAAAAAAATTAAAAATTATAGTATTTGACTTTGTTGCAGTTTTTTTATCTCACCCAGTATAGGGAACTACATCTGAACCGATTTTCATCAAATTTGATGTACTTGTTTCTAGACAGATTTCAATCGGACGTGACAAAATGCAGGTTATTTGTAGTGATATTGGCCATTTGGTGCACAATTAACCCGAAATCGATTGAAATATGTATGGGAGCTATATCTAAATTTGAACCGATTTTCACAAATTTCAATAGGGTTCGTCCTTTAGTCAGACAAATATTGTTTGGAAAATTTCATCTCAATCGGATAATACATTCGACCTGCATTTTGGTCACAAAAATACATGGACAGACGGAATGACATGCATAAATCGACTCAGAAAGAGATTCTATGAAGATCCTCAAAAGGAACTATGGGTCTATCTCGATTCCTTCTCTATTGTTCACACGAATGCAAAAATACATAATACCCTTACCACTATGACGTGTAGGGTATAAAAATACTGGATATAGTTTAAAATTCGATTAAAATTAAAACTTAGAATTTTTCGAATTTTTTAAATTAAAATATTAAATATTTTAATAAAATATTTAAATTAAATAAATCTGGATATCTAAATTTAGGTCTGAAAAAAAAAAAACATTTTATAGTTTTGCTTGCACTTTAAAGTCCTCTGAAATTGCCACAATTTTTAAATCCCCTTTGGAACACATTTTTGGATATACAACACAATTTTGTATGGGCCACTTGAAAGACCCAGAAGGGAATTTATTTCCCAAATTGAATTTTCTATTTCAGTTTTCACCACTGTTCGGTGCTGCCTCTATTCAATTTTAGCTAAAAGCGCTATTAAACCACATAAAATGATAATCGAAATAGGAACAACAAACAGACACCATACCAAAAAAAAAGAAGATACCTCCGAACTGAACAAAAACGAATTGATGATGGCTTTAACCAAAATGGATTGGTAGAGAACGTAAAGAAAATACACAGAGAACAGAAAAAAAAAACGAACGAACGAAATAAGAACAAACTATCGAGCGAAAACAATGATGATTTTTTTTATGTATTTTTTCGGGTTGAGGGGCGTTTTGGATATGAAATGGTTTTTGGATTGATTGTGTGTTTGACTGAGGGAGTGATGGGATGGTGGATGGGGAGAGGGAGAGGGGGTCACTTGGCTTATATGTACATTTGCTATTTGGATGTATGGACCAAATCAACTTACGTGCATTCGTATTCATTCCATAAATCAACACATTCGAATGGCTCGGGACAGATGACATTCGAACATGGTTTATTTGAGGGGCAATTCTTTTCCAAATTACGAGCCATGGTGGCCTGACCCCATTGGGTGCCATTCATGGCCGGTGGCAATGGTAAATGTTTACCTTCGAGCCTGAAATGAAAAAAAAAGTGGAGAAATAAAAAAAGTGATACTTTAGTTGGTTGGTTGGTTGTTTGGGGTTTCTGGGTTAATTGCTGCCCGTTTACTCGGGTATGTGTGTATGTGTGGGTGTGTGGGTGTTAGAAGCGTGTTGGTATCGCAACTTACCTAATATCATCCAAGCAACTCTTTTGATAATCAGCATAGACCTCAAATGTCCTCACACCTGTGTATTCCGCCTTGCCACCGGCATAGACACCCTCCTGTTTGTCGACCAGCAACCATTGATGACCCACAAACTCAAAGGTCTCGTTGTAGCGTCTACCCTCACCCCCATCTAGCTCCAAGGTGGCAGCCGACCCATAACGATTAATTCTCACCACATGCCATTGGCCATCATCGACGGCCACAGCATTCAGCCATAGATCCTTCTCCTCCGTACGCAATGAATTCAAATTGTAACGGAAATGCAGGCGGGCATCCTTAATCTCCAGGATACCATATTCACGATTATGTTGATCGCTCACACGGAACAACTCTCCATGTTGTTCGCGGGTACGGAATCGCAGTTGTATTTGGGTGCTAAAACGATCCGGCTCAAAACTCAAGGCATATTTGACATAACTCTGTTGCTTAAAGGTTGTGGGTATGGTGGGTATATTACAGGCGGGTCCTGTCCAGCCAGGTCGACACTGACACCTGGCCTCACTCAGAGAACCCACACAGTTGCCATGTTCCCAGCAACGAGCTGTCTGCTCCGATTGGGCACACACCTCTTCGGTTTGAGGACATCCCGCCACACTATTCCTTGATAGACCAGGATGGGCCAAGTCATACAATTTCGAGTTGTGTACCAAATTCCTTATGCAACCATCAAAGCCCTTGGCCATGGGTGTGTAATGCCAGAAATACAGGGAGGGATCGAATTGCTCTCGATACAAACCACCCACCTGCAGTGGGGCATTGACATTCAAATATTCACTGAATGGCGGAATATTTCCCCTGGCCTGACACGACATATCATCAAACTCCGGCATGGAACCATCTTCCATTTCACTGATCTCGGCGGATTTACAAAAGTCCACAACCATTCGCACATTTTCCGAATCCCAGAACAAATCGATTCTATGCCATTCACCATCATCCAGGGTCTTTTTGGTCTTAACCCTCAACTCCAAAGTGCCTGAACCAAAATCAATCAACAAACGAGGATAACCTCTCTCCAGCTCCAGGGAAATAAAATCGGAGATTAACATTTCATCACGTTCCGGTGGCACAATAGGACCATTGTAGATTATCAAGCCATCTGGTTTGCGGGTTATAAATTCCAAACTTAAATGTGATTCGTCGCACATTTCCAACGGCGGATACCAGGCCCAACCATTACCACGGAAGCTGCGAGTGGTCTGCTGGCATCTGGGTCCGGTATAACCCACCGGACACGAGCAATGGGGTCCAAATCTTGTATCCACACACCTGCCGCCATTGTAACAGGGGGTATTTCGACAATTTTCCGGTTTGGAGAAGTTTCTTGCCCCACAAGTACACTCTGCCAGGGTGTCCACTCGTACACCCACCAAGGCTGTCTTGTTGGCATTTACCATATACGGCAGCGAGCTAATATCCAGCGTATTCGTACATGACCCTTCGCACATTTGATTCTCATACAAACACTCATCAATGCCCACCATGGTTATATTAATGCCCACATCCTTTTCAATCTCTTCGCGATTCATCAAAACAATACCATTTAGTCTTACAGGTTTATAATACGGTGAACCATGGGCCGAGAACCGGACATCGGTTAGAGGTGGATGTTTCTTTTTCAACTGAACACTGAAGATATCGACATTTTCCCGATCCGTATTCAACAGATCTGCCAATTTATCACGGAATCTATCCATCTTGGATCTACTCAACGACTGTGTGCGGTAATTCCACACCCGTATAAAATCTTCATCGGTGATGCCCGACAAACGAACCGATCCGGAATTTATAACAGCCTCATGGGGTATTTCCCTCACTGTCACCGTAACATTAGCCGGTACATCAGTCTGCGTATGCTTGCGATCATAAACCTTAAAACGTAAATGATAACGTCCTTCCCGTGTGCCAGCCCGCATGGTAATCATGCCAGAATCTTCATCCAACTTAAAGCGAGGATGCTCCTGTGATTCCCAATAGAATTTCTTGTCGGGTAAATCCCAATCATCCAAATCGTAGACATAGACACGACCAATTTGAGTGTCGGGAGATTGTCCTTGATAGTTGTAGGCGAAGATGTCCTTGGAACCGGGTTGCATTTTATTGTCATTGACATCACCAATAATCACGGTTAGAGTGCTTGTACCAGTCATCGCCGGAGAGCCATGATCCTTGATCACAATGGGGATCATATATTCCTTTTGTTGTTCACGATCGAATGAGCGCAGAGATGAAATGACAGCCATACCATCACCGTTGGCGCCCTCTGTTGAGAGAATATGGGGAATAAGAAGAAAAATGTGTTAAGAATGAATTAAGGTATTTGCATTTTATTGCAGGACTATTAAAATAAGTAATGTTAAACATAAAATATGACATTTCCAAAAATTGGATGCGCACCTGTGAGGCATTTATATCGTAAAAGCTCACAATTTCGAAATCATTCCAATGCATAACTTGATTGGTTTGACAAAAATTTTTAATCAAAACTGCGTACATCGAACTAAATTCAGAATTTCGAGGTTTTAAATATTATTCAAGTTTTACCCTTTTTGGAAAAAATAATAGAAACATGTATACCTTTAGCACCAAAATCTTCAAAATAGTTCATAGTGAAGTTTACGGGGAAGAATATTAATAAAATGAACCCACATCCAATTTTTCTGTCTAAAACTATTTCAACGCCCAAGAAACCAAGAGTGACCTCAATATTAAATTAGAGAATTTCAGCCCTATCTCTTCACCCAATACCAATTGCAAAATCACCTCCACATCGCAATTCCTGACACCCACTGAGGCCTTAGTACCAAATTTTGGGATTGCAGCTTACTACATTCACTCAATACTCAATTTGTTACTATTAAGTAATTTTAATAAAACTAAAACACACATTTCGGAAACTACATCCATATCTTCCGGATTTCAGCTCTATTCCTTCACCCAATAACAAATATAGTACCATTCAGTACTTTTCCTACAATAATAGTATATATTTCCAAATCACTGTCATATCTCAATTTCAGATACCAACAGTTATCTAAATATCAAATTTCAGAATTTAACCAAATTTAGCACCATTTAGTACTATCCGTACAAATAAAGGACGCATTACCAAACCACCGCGAAATCCCAAACATAGGTAGTATCAGTAATATAAATATCAAATTTCGGAAATGTATCTCCATCCCATCACCAAATACTAAATATAGTACTAATCAGTACATTTCGTACAATTGTAGTACACATTTCCAAACCCACCGCCATATCTGAAACACATACACCATCAGCAATCTTAATATCAAATTTCAGAAATGTATCTCTAACCCTTCACTCAACACTAAATATAGTACCACCATACAGTACATTTCGTACAATTATAGTACACATTTACGAAACCACCTCCGTATTTTCGTTGACATTTAAACCAACTTTAATTCTCAATCCTATACACTAAACCTATACACTAACAGTGACCCTAATGCCAAATTTAAGATTTCGTGCAATATCAGTACCGTTTAGTACCTTTCGTACGATTGCGGAAGGAATTTCAACCTCAACATTTTATTTCAACCCTATCCGCCAGCAGTGACCCAAATTCCAACATTTCAAATTACAAGCTTTTTCGTTCACCCATTGTACCAAATTTAGTACTATTTAGTACACTTCTTACACTTAGTACGTATTTCCAAAATCACCTCCAAATCTCACAAACTTGTGGTGATCCTAATGCCAAATTGCAGTTTTTAAACAGTATCCGTCCATGTAATACCAAATTTAGTACTTTTAGATTGGGACTAACCTTTTGTACGCTTGCTGAACGTATTTCTAAGCCCAACACCAACAGCAGAGGGCCCCAAAAGCATCATATTAAATTTCTATATGTTGGGCGCCACTTTATCTATGCAAAACAGACAGCTACATATATTTATATCGTTGTTAGGAAAATTTAATTTATTGTCTCACGTTGGGCGCCACTTCAACCAAAACCAAATTTTATCGAATTAAGTTCAAATTAGTGCCGAAGTTACACTTTATACGCCTTTCCGAAAACACCTACTTATATCGACACTACTTAAAAACTTAATTTTTATACCAAATGTCAAGTTTTCAGCTGTATTTATTGTTTGTTATTACTTACTCAGCTATTAACCCAGCCATATCTAACCCCTCTCTACCAAAATTGTCCCACATGCAAAATTTTCGGATTCTAGCTTAACCCGTTTCACTTTTCTCTTTTCATTCCATAGCTATTATCTTCTTTTTCTTCTTGTATCATTGTTTTGATATTTATTTTATTTTCCACTACATTTTAATGTATTGTCCCATGTTGGGCGCCATTTCAACCAAAACAAAATTTTATCGAATAAATTTCCATTTTGGGCAGTTGTTACACTTGGTATCCGTTTTCGGAAACACCTACCTATATCGACACTACTACTACTACTACTCGAAATTAATTTTTATACCAATTGTCAAGATTTTAGCTAGATCCGTTCACAAAATACCATCTAACCCCTCTCTACCAAAATTGTCGTACATGAAAAAATTTCAAGATTCTAGCTTAACCCGCTTCACGTACGTTATTAATTTTTACACTTTTCTCTTTTCATTCCATACCGAAAACCGAATCTGAAATTTGTCCTCTGGCTTCCAGGAATAAAAAATGGTCTTCAGGGTAGCAACTTTACTTCCAAGAAAATTTTTAATTAAACACAAACTCATTAAACGAAACAAAACTAAACATAAATAGGCAATAATGTATACTCAAAATTGGGAAAATATATATCCCAACCACTTCTTTTGTACCGCCAAAGCTCCAAGAAATTTATGATAACATTTCCGTTTGCAGAAATTTAAGAAATTTCCTTAAAATCTACTTTTCATAATCCGAGAATTTTCAAAATGTTTGACTTACCCCTTCCCTTTCAACTTAACTTAATATTTTCATACCCGATATCTTATAACCCTGTAGAATTAATGTTATTTCTTATTAAAAGATTTAAATTTAAGCAACAAATTGCCTTTAAAATCTTCCATGGACACCTAATAGAGCATACCCTCTTGCTTAATTATTAGGAAAAAATAATGCGAACAAAAATCGATAAAATAACCAATTTAATACTCTAAAAATGACCCTGAGTTTTAGTGTTTTCAACTCTTCTTCTTGGCTACTCATTGAAAACTCAACACCAGTAGCAGTCAGACTATTCAACATCAACAATGTTCAATGTGAATTGTAATTAAATTGGAAACATTTTGTAAATTTACACTTTTGCATAGAGAACCTCAGCAGAGATGGAGAACGGAAGCAAAGAAAGAAAATTAACCTCCATCCAAGGCTTCCATGATGATGTCGATATTGCAGTGTAGACAGGATTATTGAAAAGCCGAACTGATTGGCCGGCCAGTTTATCCTTGAAGGCAAAGGCACACACACACTCCCATACACTGACTTATTCGAGGATTAAATATGAACATTTCTCTAAGATAGCCACTATATTTTGGGGTACTGTTTCTCATTTCTCGTTTTTTTTTTGTTTTTGGTTTCTGTTCTCCCTCTCCTTCTTCAGCTTTGTTATTGGAGATTTCATTAGTTCATCTCTTACCCGACCAGTGTACAGTGTGTGGAGTGATTCCTAACATTGTAAAGCTGGCAGCTTGGACTACTGCTGCAATTCGATAATTGGATTTTAATAGTAAAAGTTCATTTGCTGGCAAAAGTGAAGAATAAAATCATCTATGGATTTTGTTTTTTGGTATCGTACTAACAGGACGAGGCAAAGGCGTTGAATTAGAGTCCTTTTGTTTGTGCGGAAAGGAAGAAAAGAAAATGTGACTTTATATAGCAATTGTGTGGTTATTTTGTTTTTTCAATATTTATTGGATTTGCTACGTAACTGAAGGTCTTTAGAGAATAGTTTTTTTTTTTTTTTGGTATTGAGTTGTCAATGGAAATTGCTGTTAAGCAAATAAAGGAAAGCATACAAAGGGCATGGTGTGTGTGTGGGAAAGGGATTTCCTCAAAAGAAAATGCATTTTTGAAATTAGTTTAATTTTGAAGCCATTGTCTCGCACAAAGGATATTTGGTAGGAAATAACAGGACCATATACACATTTTCAATACGTAGATAATTTTTTATGTTTCAAATTTGCCACTCAAAACGGAAATGCAAATGGAGGGTCACGTTTAGCAAAAAAAAAAAAATAGTTGAAAGCCAGGAGACTTGGCACCAAGTTTGTAAATGGGAAAATAGTTCAGAAAAAATCAACTGTTATAGAAGAAGTCATACCCCAGCCTTATGGCAAAAGAGGCTATACATTACTTGATATGTATATTTTGAACGCAAAAATTGAAAAAATAGACCCACTTAATTAGATACCTACTACACCATTCCTCCAAAAAGTACAGTGTGATGTAGGGTATTATGTTTTTGTCCCTTTGTTGTAATATGAAGAAGGAACCGAGATAGACCCATAATAGCTTTTGATGATCTGCATTGTGTATCCATGTATTTTTTGAAAACAAACTACAGGTCATAGCATTTATTGTCCGATAGAGATAAAATTTTTGCACAAATCATTTGTTTGACCCAAGGACGAATCCCATTGAAATTGGAAAGAATCGGACAATCCATATGTGTAGAGAGAAGTGTAAGAACTGACTGACCGAAATTCGACCCCTAGACAAAACGGGCTACAATCGGGAAATTTTGCACGAGGATCAGCCTCGGTGTGATAAGGCTGGGTTTTCGGAATGTCGTACAAAAAGTACTAAAATGTACTAAAAATTGAACACTTCGTATTGGACAAAATGAAGAGCTACAATTCTGATATTTGGACTGAGACTCACTGATGGAGTGCTGAATAGTTGTACCAAAGGGTTTTTTTGAAAATCGTACTCTGGAAATGGTAATAAGCCTCTAAATTGGCACAATTTGGTATTTTCTGAATGGAAAGAATCAAAAACTTGAAATTTTGTATGAGAATCAGTTGGAAATTAAGTTTGTTATTTGTAGGTGGCTTTGGAAATAAGTATTAAGTGTGCGAACTGTACTAAATGGTACTAAATTTTGAACATTTTGGTTAAGGATGAACGGATGAAGCTTAAATTCTGAGATTTTGTATTGGAGTCCCTATTGGCGATTTAAGATTTTTTATGTTGCACGAAAAGTACTAAATAGTACTATATTTCAAAAATGGAGCAAAATTTTGAATATTTTGGTTAAGGATGAACTGTTGAAGCTGAAATTTTTAGATTTTGTATTGGAGTCCCTGTTGGCGTGAAATTTTTTCTGTTGCACGAAAAGTACTAAATGGTACTAAATTTGATAATGGGTTAATGGATAGGGCTGAAATCTTCAAATTTTATATTGAGGTCTCTGCTGGTGTCTAGGATTAAGATCTGGAGGTGGGTTTGAAAATGCGTACTATAGTTGTTCGAAAAGCACCAAATGGTACTATACTATATTTTTATATTTATGTCACTGTTTGTTCCTAAGATTGCGGCCAACTTCTTTGATGAGAGGACTTCGAAATAATTTTGGACAGAAATATTGAATGTGGGTCCGTTGTGACGTTCTGATTTAAAAATTTTGCAAATTGTGCATTTCGAGTACTAAAAAGGCCTAATGCGAACAGTTGCAATGATTCTAGAAATTTTAGGAGGACTTTTAGCTGACGAAGTAGCAAACACTTGCTAGGATATATGGTCAGCCCCACTACAGCCTTTGATTACTTGTTTTGTATAAAGTTAGATTTTTACAAACAACTTTGAAATCCTTACCCCTAAAATACCGAACTTTAAAACAAATCCTTTTCAACTAATACCAGAATATTTACTAAAAATACACACAGTGAAAGTTATCTAAACAACAAATGCAGTTGTTTTTCCTCAACTAAATACTCAGGCAATTAACAGGTTTTGTTCTCCTAATTCTCGAATGTAAAATCCAATTGAATTCTGTTGTGTACATTTTGTTACTCTTTTTTTATAGAAAACAACAAGTTCAAACTAAATAGAAAACTAAACATTGTGTTCTAAACAACAACAACGACAATAGCAACTACAACAACAAAAACTGTGTTAGTTACAATAAAACATTACTAGTATTTAGTTGAGGCTTAAAAACCCATTTAGAGTATATACTTGAACATGTTTTCCTGTGAATTGGTTGGTGAGCTGGCAGAGTAGGTTAATAGTGGGTGTGGATCTAAAGTTCAAGAGCTAAAAAGTAAATTGCCATTGGCAGTGTAAATATTTACGTGAAAGTTTTCTGAAAAGGGAAAAAGTAGGCTTTCTGTGGCAAGACGGCAAGTTGAATGGAAAAAAGTGTCGTTGTGTTGTAATGTATTTGGAATTACAACGAACTGAGATCTGTTGTAAATGTTACAAATGGATGTTTAAGTAAAAAGTTTTCTATGAAAAGGCTCAATTCAGAGTGGTGTGGAAATCCTTAGGCGTCCTGAATTGCGAGGGCGAATCAAATTAGTTATGAAATTAATGAATCGAAAATTGAAGGGATTCTAGATTTGAATTTTAACACTATTTGTCTTTTTTCACAGATTCATCCCTAAAGTATGCAATATTTTTGACTAAATAACATGACCCTTAAACTATGCTTTATATTTAATGTTTTATATATTTTATTAAGTGTTGGATAATCTTTTGAAGGAATTTAACAAGCTTTGTCTTTCTTTAAAGAATCATCCTTAAAGTATGCAATATTTTAACAATTTAAATAACCATTGACATTGAATTATGATATATACTTGACGGAATTTTACTTTTGAATTTTAATGCAGTTTATGACTCATCCGTAAAGTATGCAATGTTTTAAAAACTAGCATAACCCTTAAACTATGCTTTATACTTAATGTTTTATCTATTTTGTCAAATGTTGGATAATCTTTTGAAAGCATTTAACATTGAAATTTTAACACGCTTTGTGTTTCTTTAAAGAATCACTCCTAAAATATGCAATATTTTAATAAATTACTATAACCCTTGAACCATTGATATTGTACTATGGTATATATTTGAGGGAATTTTACTTTGCGAATTTTAATGCGATTTATGTCTTTTTTAAAGTCTCATCCCAAAAGTATGCAATGTTTTAATAAAATAGGATAACCCTTAAACTACGCTATATATTTATTTTTTCTATTTTGGGAAATGTTGGATAGCCTTTTGAAGGAATTTAATTTACACATTTTAATACGCTTTGTCTCTTTCTAAAGAATTATCCCTAAAGTATGCAATATTTTAACGAATTAAAATAACCATTGATATTGAACTATGATTTTCTAAAGACTCATCCCTAAAGTATGCAATATTTTTTCATAAAACATAGCCTAACCCATTAACTATGCTATATATTTTTTACCTATTTTGGGAAATGTTGGATAATCTTTTGAAGGAATTTAACTTTGAAATTTTAACACGCTTTGCCTCTCTCTAAAGAATCATCCTTAAAGTGTGCAATATTTTACCATAATAAAATAACCTTTGAACCATTGATATTGAACTATGATATATAAACGAGGGAATTTTACTTTTCAATTTTAATGCGATTTATGTCTTTTTCTAAAGACTCATCCCTAAAGTATGTAATGTTTTAACAAAATAGGAAGACCCTTAAACTATGCTATATATTTATTTTTGTTCTATTTTGGGAAATGTTGGATAATCTTTTAAAAGGATTTAAATATGAAATTCTAAATTCTTCTTTAAAGCATAATCCCTAAAGTATGCAATATTTTAAGAAATTAAAATAAACCTTGAAGCATTGATATTGAACAATATTATATATCTGATGGAATTTTACTTTTAAATTTTAATGCGATTTATGTCTTTTTCTAAAGACTCATCCCTAAAGTATGCAATGTTTTAAAAAAATAGCATAACCCTTGAAAGATATACACTAAAAATATGCTACAGATTTAAAATATCAATTTTTAATGGAGGAATAGCTTGACGTATAATATATATTTAAAATTTTCATCCTAGAAGTATGCCATTAAGCTTAATTTTATATAAATGAACACATGCACAATTTGTGATATTTTCATTCATTCATCCTAAAAGTATGCCCCAGAAACTATCTATAATTGAAAATAATTGAAGCACAATATTTTTTATTTTATATTTATCCTTAAAGTATCCTATTAAGTTGAATGTTATACAAATTAAAAAAAAAACCCTTAATTTTGTATTATTTTCATTCATTCTTCCCAAAAGTATGCCCCAAAATATTACATTTAATTGAAAGTATCTATTTATTTTATATCCCAAAAACTAAATATTGTTCTACTACTCACTTTGATCCTGTTCCACTTTGAATGAGGCACGTATTATATCATCAGCACTGGGATCCAAACGGAATTGGAAGGGTGGGCCATTGCTCTTCGAGCGATCATCATCATCGGTGGCCAAAATTTCCACAACCTTACGTGGTGGTACATGTTCCGGTAGAACAGGACGATAATCTTTCAAGAATTTCGGGGCATTGTCGTTAATGTCCTGCACAATAACTGTGAGTGTAGCAGTTGCCGTCTTGGGTGGAGAACCATCATCAATGGCCAAAATTTTCACCTGATGACGTGGCACCACTTCACGATCCAGCGAACGTTGTATTGTCACCGAACCATTTTGATTGATGGCGAATTGTCGTTGCCTATCCGAAGAACGATCAATGGAATAGGAGACTTTACTACGTCCACCCTGATCCGGATCGGTTGCCTTGAATTTCTCTAGCTCAGTGCCCACTTTAGTGTCTTCAAACACGGACACCTCAACATTGGCTCGCTCAAAGTGTGGCTTGTTATCGTTGATGTCCCGCAATTTTACCACCACCCACGAATAGGCCACATGATATTTGTCATTGTCATTATCCTCTCCCTTGTCGTTGACTTGTATGCGGAAACGGAAACCATTCGATTGCAATTGATCTTCATAATCCAAGGGTTGGACAATTTTCAGCGAACCCGTACCATCGTTATTGCGGACCATGGTAAATTTATCGGCACCATAACCACTGTTATCAATAACTTTGTATTGGAACTTATTCGTTTCATCCTCATCGTGCACCGTGACCGTTAGAATTGGCATTTCCGGTAGCGTCGTCCCATCCGTTTCATCCACCTCCGTAAACCATTCATCTTTCGTAAACTGCGGAGGCATATCGTTTATATCTTTTACTCTTATCGAAGCCGTCCCCGTACCCTTTAACCCCCCGCCATCCATTGCCACAACTTGTATAGAATAATCCGGAGTACGTTCACGATCCAAACAACAGACAGCGGTTTTAATGACACCTGTGTCGGGTTCTATCTCAAATATTGGTGAGCCCGTCTCTTCTTCGATGACATTTTTCTCGATGGAATATACCAGTTTGGCATTTGAGCCTTCATTCGGATCATCATAGTCCACGGCGGTCATTGTCATCACCACCATACCGGCGGTACCATTTTCAGTGACATTTCCAAAATAGACACCTTGTGGGAATATGGGAGCATTGTCGTTGATATCTTTGAGATTTACTTGGACATCGGCATAACCGACCAGACCTTCTCCACCTTCATCTTGGGCAAAAACGGTGAAGCGCCATTGGGGTCTGCCATTGGGTTGATCGCGATCCAGGGGCTGGAAAAAGGAGAAGAAATAAAAATTATAAATTGCTGTTGTTGTTATTGTTGTTATAGATATACAAAGATACAGTAGAACCTCAATTTAGAAAAAAAAATGACAGAAAATAATTTACGATGGCAGTCCTATCGAATGTCGGAGACAATAAACTTTACGGATAAGGAATATTGAAAGAGATATCATTGATAAAATTTATTTTTCTCTCCCATATTTTTAGGAACCTGGGCTTCTATTCTCGTTTTACCAAATTAAAAATTTTACTAAGATTTTTTTTTTTTTCATATTTTCGTAGAACAAAAATCCAGCCCCAGTTTCCCATTTTCCGAATTCCTAATAGAAATCCATTTTGTCTATGTTCCTTTGTACCCCATATTTTGCATACATTGTCTAATTGCAACATAAATTATCCTGCGAGTACCACCTAATGCTACTTAAATCTGTTGGATTTGGTTTTTTGCGTCGTTCGTTACTCTCTTTTTTCGCTCTCTCGGTTTGTTACCACAGAGCTCAGTATCTTACTGTGTAGTTAAGTATCTGTCATAAGCACTGTGACAACCGCAAAATGTATTATGGCGTATATATTACGTGTTTCATTTGATAGGGAGCGTAAATGTGTGTGTGTGTGTGTGTGAATAAGTACTGTTGTTTGTTGGTGTAATGGAGAAAAAAACTAAAAAAAAGTCATAGGAGTTGCAAATCCAAAAATCATAAGGGCATTCACAGTGGAGACGTTAACGGGTGCATGAAAAGGGTTATTACAAGGGATGCCAAAGCGATTCCGAGGACCAATCTAATTTTATGTCTACATCAGGGCTAGCCAACCATTAGCAATACAATACTAACACAAAAGCTTTAAAGAGTAAGATTGTGTGACAATTCTTTGCGAAATTGAAAATCATGAATTCAAGCGACCGCACTTAATACGTCATTGGAAGCTGAAAACCTAATGTCTGTCTGCAAAACAAATTTGTTGTTGGTAAACAAGAGAGCATTTCTGGTGGTGAGTTTGCCGATCGATGCACAGTGGTCGAGGTCGTATGGGAACAGCGGCCAAAAATACTTTCAGTGCAGATATCAATATGAATCTATGGTTATGGTACCTTGATGGGATAAATATAAAAAATGTGACCAAATGGATATGGTCGATGAATGTTTTGGCGTGGTCCCCATATAACGTACCACCCGAATAAGGGTTATTTGCCCAATTCTTGTCACATTTCTACACCAGATTGTAATGTTATTTGACATTTTACGTTCTAAGGAGCTAAAAAATAATCTTACTGAAAATTATTTGGAACAGCCCGCCATCAGGTAGAGTCCCTTGTAAGGTACCTTCAAAAATAGAAGCATTTTTTATACAAATTAAGTCCAAATTTGATTATTTTTTGTAAACAAAATAAAATAACAACTTAATGTAAAATTAAATCAAAGATACATTTTGCACAAATAATTAGTTTGACTTAAGGCCCTATTGAAATTGGATATAGCCGGTCAAAATTTAGGTATAGCTCCCATATACATTCATCCAATTTGCCTTATATTGTGCACCAAACTAGTAATATCAGCCCAAATAGTATGGAATATACGTACGACCAGATGGGACCTGAAAATAAGTATGCCAAATTTGATCGAAATCGGTTCAGATATATATATAGCTCCCATATATATTGTTCATCCGATTTGTTATTTTTGTCCTTCGCAGCCGTAATATGCACTCTGTGACAACGATATTCGGGGAAATATATCAAATATAACTCAGAAATACCCTTTCTAAAATTTATCGAGATCTGTTAATATTTGGACATGGCTCAAATATATATCTTCGTCCGATTTGCCTTTTATTGTCATTGTAAATCAAATTTAGATATAGCTCTCATATATATCTATCCGATTTCAAGTTAATTGTGCACCAAATGGATAATGCAAGCCCGAATTGAAAAGGCGCAAATGCCTCGACAAATTTAATAGAAATCGATTCAGAGGAGGATATTCCTCCCATATATTAGTTCCTTTGGACTTTTGATTATTACTATAATCATTGTTGGTATGATTTAATTCTCACAAATTCCCCATTAAAACCTTTATTTGTTATGTGACGCTCTACTAAATATGCAAAGTGGTGTAGGGTATCATGAAGTCGGCCCCGCTCGACTTTAAGACTTTCTTTACTGGTTATTGTTTGGTAAGGTTCGCTGCCCCATTATAAAAGGGTCAGAGCTCAGAAGAAGACGGTTAATAAGATCTGTGTTTGTTGAAACACGAGACTTTTTTCGGGCATGATTTAGTCGAAACTTGGAAGATAGTGCCATGGATATAAATTTTATTAACTCTAGCAGTTTCCAGTGCAAAGGCCTTGAATTTTTCGACATAAATATTATACCCAGAGGACAATGCTTGCAACATTATTGAACACCCCTCAATTACATTCTTATCAATCCCTAACAACAAAAACATATTCTATGTCACTAGCACCATAGAACTGACAAAATTGCAGCGAAGTCACTTCAGTATATTGGGCATAACGTACACATCTGACAAAATCTGAAAGTTAAATTAGCACTTTTAGAATCTTAGGACCATTACTAATGGCATGAAAAAAATCACATTGGGGGATTCAGGAGGGAAAACAATTAAAACTTTAACTGAAATCCAACTTTATTTTCAAAATTAATCTTAAAGGCAACTCAGAATACTCACATCTTCTATATTATACACATATAATAAACACACAAATTACTGCACTAAAAATAAGTTAATACCTTGCTTTTCAATAATAATGCCAAGATTTGTAATTTTAAAATGTATTTAATTTTGTAATACAGTTCTATTTTTACTCCACTTTTTATCTGATCCCACTGAAAAAAACAACTAACTACATTTTCTCTTTTTTGATGCTATTTTCGAAGTTTCCCGTTAGAATGAAACCAAGATTATTATGTTTTCTAAAAAGCTTAACCCCTTAAGAGTTCATTTGTACACATTTGACAATAAATATCTGATTTTTATTTTTTGAATTTTGGCCAATGGCAGCGACCACTGTGCGATGGTGAGTTCTATACACAAAACTATGATTGTGTGTGAGGTGTGCTGAATTGCCCATGGGCAATTTGTTGGCGAGCGCTGGTCTAAACGGATGGGGAATTGACCGACTCTTTTTTTTTTTTTTGAAAAAAAAAAAAAAAAACGTTTAAATATTTGGAGAGACATTACAGATATTCCAAGGTCACTATGGTCATATAAAACATTTTTAAATGGGATGGATTTTTTTACATTTCTTTCATATACAATTGTTATGGATTTTTTAAAGACAGATTTTTTTTCAATAAAAATCAGGACATTTTTCAAGTGATATTTCATCAAAGGTCCTGAATATTTAAAAAATGGTGTTAGCACAACTACACTCGTAGATTTACATTTTTAATGGAAAATTCCGAAAATGGTATATATTTTTTCATTCACCACCTGGACTATAATTATAGATCACATACTGTTGGTATAATGGAGAGTGGTGGACTTTTACATATTTGTTCAAGGAATATCGGGGCCAATGTTTTTTAACATAAATTGCGTGGAATGTCCAGCATCAAATTGAAATATTTACTTAAAATCCAAATTTAGTCTCCGAGAGTCCTTGAAAAAAAATTTATTATTTTGTATTTTTTTTAATTAAGGATTTTGACTCCGAGGACCCACAAAAACAAAATATAAATTTTAGAAATTCACTATTCCGACCGTGAAGGTCTTTAAAAATAATACTCTACACTTAGGATGTTTTTGTACCCTCCCTAAAAACCCTAAAAATAATACTCTACACTTAGGATTTTTTTGTACCCTCCATCACAGTATGGAGGGTATATTAAGTTTGTCTTTCCGCTTGTAACACCTCGAAACCAACATTCTAGACCCCACAAAGTATATACAGGGTGAGATAAAAAACTGCAAAAAAAATCAAAGGCCTCAATTTTTACATTTTTTTTTAATTTTATTGAATGAAAGCAAAACATGTCGGAAATTGAATCAAATTTCAGAATAAGTTTAGATTTGTTCGAATTTGTCACCTTTGGCAAGAATTAAGGCCTTCACTCGGTCAATGAAACCTTCACACGCTGCCCGAATGTTGCTCTGCGGTATTTTGGCCTATTTCCGGCGAAGCGCTTGCTTAAGGTGATCGACAGTTTGGTATTTTTTAATGCCAACCTTGCTTCCCAAAATACTCCAGACACAATAGTCTAACGGATTGGTATCCGGAGATTTTTGTGGTCATTGTGCGCTGGATATGAAGCGAGGAACCTCAATTTGTAAACATTCTTGGGTGGCGCGTGCTGAGTGCGATGGTGCCGAGTCCTGTTGGAATGTCCAAGGTCTGCAGCCAAAATGTGCTTTAATACACCCTCCAGAATATTTTCCCGATAATATTTGGCATTTATTTTGATGCCACGGTCGATTAATACGAGTGGAGAGCAACCAGTGGCTATTGTGGCGGCCCACATCATCACCATGACCGGCGCTTGAGTTCTGGTGTCCAATCGAAGGTCTACATTTTCACCTGACCTCTTTGGCAAGTAAACACGATAATTTTGCTTGTTTACAATCTGCTGGACAACGAACTTTTTTTTGTCGGAGACGGAGAAAACTAAATTCGGCAGTTCACTACTTTCGGTTAAGCAAAGCAACTCTGATTTTAGCGACATTATTTACCGGAAATGTTTCAAATTTGGTATTTGAAATTCGTAATGGATACTACAGCCTACGGCAGAAGATTGTCTTTGCAGATCCACGTCTTCGTATAGCCCCCATATAATGGTGCCCTCCTATATTCGGTGTTTTGATGATTTTAGCTAAATTATTCACCTGCCTATGCAGGTCCACGTATTTTTTAGATTTTAACAGAACTTTTAACGGATTTTATTGTTCTGAAAATTGCCAAATTCAGATTACTTGTTAAAATATATAACTTTTAACTGTACTACAGTGGTCACTGCAATTGGTGTAGTGAT